TCTTATTTTATGCTTTAAGAAACTTTTTTTCGCGACCCATGCTTTTCAAGATCTTTGCCCAGAATGCTGCTTGTGCTTTTTTCATACCTATTTCACTAATTGTGTAGAGGAGAGGAAGGATGTGGGCAGGTTCGGAGCAACACCTCGTGCTGCGTACAGTAATCCCAATTTTACAGGGAGAGGAAACTCCGGGAAACATGAAGTATTTTACTTTCACACCTACCCAGGTTAATCTATTTGAACGGTATACATGACCGAACAAATTGCCACCTATTTTAGTAAAATGGACCTCTTCCTCTTCTGTGTCACATGATCATCTCCTTTTAGAATCGTTTGCACCACGGGAGGTTTCTGCTCACAATCCAGTCGACGTCACCATATCAAAAGTTGGCCTTGGTATAGTAGCGGCTTCTATATCTCTCATCACAATCTCGCTCGTGCAATCAACACAAGAAGACCCTTCAGTGGAATTGGAAAAGGACAATGCTACCATATTTCTACGAGAAAATATGGAGGTCAGCTTCAAAGTTTTAAAACAAAATTTTGTTGCTATTATTACGAACAAAGTCGACGACCGCGATCCAGTTTGCCTTGGAGCACGAACATGGCTCGTTAAATGAATGCGAGGGTAATGGTCGGTGACTGATCGAATTTCGTTGAAGCTCGAATCATGTATGTTCCAGGGGCTAGACTACTTGGGGGCAGATGGAGATGTGATCAGGGTAAACCACTATCGGGATAATTTGAAGCCAACAAAACCCTCCTGAGATTCCTATCATTCCATGACAATTCCCAAACTTCCATCCTACCTGAAGCTATCTCCTAGGTAGATCCTCGAGATTTCTGTAAAATTTTCCAAATGTTGTAAAACTTTGTGCAAACTTCTAAAAGGAGCTACGGGACAAGACACGGGGCTTTGTGGTGGCAATGCATTTAAAACCTGTGAAACTCTCATTCTTGTTAAAAATGGGACTATCCACCAGATTAGGCAGGAAAGGAGAGACTTCAGGATGTATGAGCACTTTTAATTCTCACAAGGTCTCTTCCTAGGCTTAGTCCTAGGATACCCCCTTATCTTGCGATATCTTTCAAAATTTTCTCAATGTCAACTAAAAGAAACCAAACCCTAACTATAAAGTCAGCTCTCAAGGTTCCAAAAAATCCGCCTGCCGACTACATCAATTATGGCCCCGTTTCTCCACGGTGATTTAGGGTTCTTTACCCTCTGCGAAGACCTTGGCCATCCCGGATTTCGCTGATACTTGATCCGGCCTTTTCATGAGCCACATTTAGGATGGTAGAGGTTGAATGTAAAGCGGGTATAGGCTTCATTACAACACTGACTTATTTATGTCCGGTGCCCTTGCAAAAAAAATGTACACGCAATGGTTGAAGCGACAAAGTGCCGAAAAGATTCACGGGAAGTACCGTACTGTTCTGTACAAATTCGCTCCGTTTCTAACAGGAAATTAAGTAAGCTTACTGAAAAACTTCCTGCAGTGAGCGGATCTCGTCACGCGGTCGCGCCCATTTAGCGTTGTCGCCTCTCATTCTTTTTGATGGTATCCGTGAGATAAGCCAAGATACAGATTTCAATTAGGAGCTTTCGATGACAGCCGAAAACTGTACAATGGATCAAGCATTTGAAAGCTGTTCGACTGGAACACCAATTACAGAGGCAACGCTGCCGTTAATTAGCACAATGATTGCGATCGGTCCACG